TTTGCAGTTTTATAGCCCATTCAATTTTAGTATAAAAATGTACAAATTTTAAGTGGCTAAGAATTTGCGTTGGTTTTTAATATTTTTTTTTTGTTTTGCTGACAGCTCTACATATTTTCTTCCATATAAAAAAAAATCACTCATACATACCTTGTATGGAGAAAAATGGCTAGAGCCGGCAGCAAAAAAATTATTAAAAATCAACGCGATTTCGAATAAGCTATAAAACTGCATACCCGAAGTATTATTAAAAATCTGAGTAAAAAGTTTTCAATTTTAAAGAAAATTCATTAAATTTTTCTTAATATTGTATCTATATACATAGTTCGAAACTTTGATTTATATGGTTTTGTTTGTAGCAAGAATCATACATATATTTGTACAAAAACAACAACAAAAAAATATGGCTTGCAAAACATTGTGAATATTTAAATTGGAATTAGAATTGGATTTTTGCGGTTCGGCTAAGGAAAGCGGTTCATCAGTCCTTCGTAGTGCCGACGATGTATTCATAGAGTCTACTTAGAACTCAATCAAGTTGTCCGGAAAATTCTCCCAAACAGCCTACCCTCTTTTTTCTCAAACCTTTCGAGAGGGTTCTCGGCGCGGAGTGTTGTGTCTGAGGCACAACATGCATATCTCAAAGGACTATTTACTAAGACGTTCGTTAGAGGAGTTGATATCTACTCTGGCGGTCGTCCTTGACATAGAACGAACCTTTAACAATGTTCAGGTAGTAGCGCAAATTCCATATCAACGTGTGAACATTCAGCATTCCTTTATTTTCCAACCCAGCTTAGGATCCATTAAGACTCCCAGATACTACGCTCGGTTATATGTACCCTTAGATTTAGTAATTTAAAGCTAGAGACCTTATTTATGGCCGTACAGAGCATTCGCTCTGCCTTTTCTTGGTTCACTCTAAGACCATATTGCTCAGCCCATAGGCATGGCTTCTCAAGAGCTCCTTTCGTGATATGAGGCTGGGATAGGAGGGCACCCACAGATACAGTTGTTCATTGTGAGTGTCAAGAGGTGACACATTTCCCTAACCCCAGGTTCCTATTCAGAGAGAAATGAAGGTATTTCCATGACATTATTAAGACACGAATTTTTCTTATACAGAAAATGAAAAATTGTTCCATAAATGGGCAGTTCACTCTAATGATAAGCGATCTGGAAGTTTACATAATCCAGATTTCTTCTGGCTTAGAATTAACTATCATGGTTCTCACTTCAACAAATTTTTCATCCCAATACGGAGACGTTAAGTTCTCAAAACCTTTGGTTTCGTTTTTTCTCTAACAGAGCGTTCCCCAGATTTTTGTACTCTCGATACTTTCGTTCTCATTTTGTTGTCATTGGAAACATTGCCGAAAGTTTTGTTATCATTCTATTCTTCTTAGGAATGTTCCCGACAGTTTTGTTCGCATTTTGTTCTTTACGGAAAGGTTGCCGAACCAGTTGTTCTCTTTCACACAGCTGTCCCGTTCAGTTCTTTAATGGGAATGTAATGTCAAGAACATTTTGTTCTCATGCAGAACTAAAGCAAAACTGAAACGTGTTCTGGGTTCCTATTCATATTCGAAATTAGCCAGAAATTATGATCAAATGCCATAGGTCGGAAAAATTTTTTATTTCTGCAAATTTCATTGCTACCTGGAATGTATAGGCAATTATTAAGTGAGTTCAGAGTTCTTTTATAAGAATTCCTAGAAAAATTACAGCGACTTTTAAAAAGGTACATATGGTAAATTTTTAGTGCTTTTTACTCAAATCTTTCTATAAATTTTTAACCAACTTCCCGATGAGCTAGCGACTTGAAACTTTAAACTTAGCTCGGAAATATTTTAAAAACCTGGGTTTATGATCCGATAGGGTTCGCAGGAGTCGAAGTATTGCAAAACCTGTATTTACATATAGTCAAATTTGTTTCATATTTAGAGCATGTTTACTATATTACTTAAATGAGAAGAAAAGACTTCACAAAAAATTTAGCCGCTAGGTGGTGCGGTGGTCGGTTTTGTTTAGCCGCTCAAAAAAGCTTGTCTTTAAAAAATTGCTTTTAAATTATTTGTTGTTAATATCATTCTAATTTGTTGTTTCTCAACCTACTATGCAGTGCGATCAGGAGAAGCAGGGCATTGTGACATCACCAGAGAAAATGGATGAGTATGTGCGCGAGAACGGTTTCGCCGGTTGGTATGAGACATCAGCCAAGGAAAATATCAACATAGATGAAGCAGCAAGGGCTTTGGTGAATAAGGTAAACAGCGTTTATAGGACGGCTACCAGTTTATGAAGAAAACACTTTAAAAACAATTTTTTGTTTTTATCCTTTTCGCAGATTTTACTCAACGACAAGCTGATCAGCGCCGCCGATCTGGCAGACAGCGAGAAATTTAATTTGAACAGTTCCATGGAACAGACGACATCAGAAAGCAAAAGCAAATGTTCGTGCTGACCAGTTTTTACTGAGAAAATTCATTGAAAGCGTTGTTTCGACAATAAATTTCTCCATAAAGCTGGGATTTTTGAAAATTTAAAGGAATCGAGCGTTTTTTTTTTTTTTTTTTGATACGGCAAACTGGAAATTCTCGCTCGACACTATGCATTTTCCAAGCGTTTCATGGATCCTGCGCCAACAAAACAGGCATGCATTTTCCAAGGTCATTGCTGTTAGCCGAGGACGCATCGAAATTTTTAAAATATGTTACTAATTAAAAACAAAAAAAAAAGTTTAGATATTAATATTAATTCGTTGCATAATCATCACTCAGTTAGAGATGTAATTTAAATGAACACACTACATATTTTAAAATTCAATACACTTACATACATACATACATACCTACATACATAAATTTTACCTTTACATAGTGCTTAAGTACGAATAAGTGAATAAAAAATGTCGTTGTTAGATCCTTAGAAAAAAAAAAAAAAAAAAAAAAAAAACAAAGGGAAGAAAATTATTATAGTAACTAAATATATGTAATCACTTGTGTCATGGCAAGCAAACATTTAATATTAAACTCTTTGTAGCCGATTTACAGATTTTATACGCCCGCATATGCATTATAAAATGTTCGAACGCGTATGTATGTATTTATGTAGACGTACACGTATACTATTTCAGTGCCTTATCGCACGTAAATATGTACTATGTATTTTTAAATGCTTGTTATGTTAATCTTTTTTATCAAATAAAATGAGAAATGCGATTTTTATTGTAGAGTATGTACATAGCTGCAAGGTGTGTATAATTAATTGTGGGTTTTGTTGTATTCTTGTGAATACTTTCTTCTAAATACTTACTTAGATAAGCGTATAGAAGAGACCTTTCTTTGTTTGTTGCTTCTTATTTGCTCTGACATTTTTCTTCATTCGAATAAAACCCAGTAAAAATCCGTGATAACATTAGCATACAGCATACATGAAGTTGAAAGAGATTTATCCAATACTGCGTAGCAACAAAACAAATAGGCAAGCAAACTCGAATTCATTGGACTTACTTTGGTTGTATTTATTTGTATGCAACTGCAACACGAGCATACTATGTATTTGTATTCACAAAAATGGTTGCATTGGAATAAAGGAACAAAGTACAGTGAGACCTCGACATAACCAACCTAGATGAATCGAAAATCTCTGTATAACAAAATTGTTGTATATGGTGTGTATAGGTAAAACGAAGAAAATTTTAAGCATGAAAAGCTTCGTAATATATTGAAGGTTAAAGTCTCGTTAACAAAAGCTTCGAAGCGAATTCTGAATATATTGAGCTACGTAAAAAAAAAACGAAACAACTGCGCCTTAAAAGTATATTTGTGTTGTTATTCCCTACCAGATTTAAAGATCTTTATAAATGGATATTTTCAAACAAATTTTCGATTTATTAAGCATTCTTTATTTTTATGGGGGTTTATAGTTAGTATATTTTCGAAGTAAAAAAGTAGGTCGAGTATCGGCTTTCTAGTGGAAATTTAATTTATAATCTCATAAATTGAGTCTACATATCGCGCACTTGCTTCAAAAGTATACTAATTCAATACTTACCTTATCATATCAACTAAACTGAATAAAATTTTTCAAACAGGTGGCACCGCCCCTCAAAAATATTTTCGACAGTAAACTTTCCTAAACCGAAGCGCGACGACAGAGAGAAAATCTCTTTCGGTAACCGTGCTTCGTCGGATCCGAAGCGATGCGCGAGCTACTTAAGCCGCAGTTCACGCAGCATCCTCCGGTGGACAAAGCCAAACGTCGAGTGACCAGAAGAATGCACAAACTGCCAACACTTAGTGCGGCTTTTTCTTTCACCGTGGAAGATCTGGTAGCGATCGGGAAGGCGAAAGCCTCCCAAGCTATTGGACCCGGCGAAATATGCACGCTGATGCTGAAAAAATTGGGTCCTGCTGGAGTAGACTATATAACCAAGGTTCTCAATTTGTCCGTGGCCATTCTCATCGTTCCAGATATCTGGAAAACTTGGAGAGTGGTCACACGGCCCAAACCGGAAGAACCGACCAACAAAAGAGAGTCTTGTCATCCGATAACCCTCCATTCCCTGGTAACGAAGACACTTGAGGCCTTGCTTCTCTCGCATTATACGTACCACCTAACCTCACCGAGGAATCAGCATGGGTTCCGTTAAGTGCACGGCGGCTGCCGAGATAAGTCGATCTTCCACTCAGCCGTTGATATATACGTAAATATTTAGATGGTGAGCCTATTTTTCTTGAATTTGGCTTAACCCTAAAGTACTGTTGTTGGTCTGTCAGACCACGACAAAATTTTTAGATTCAAATTAATATTTCGTTCACGTTCCGTTAAATTCCATAGTACGATTAGCTTTTACGGAGTCAGAATGAGTCAGTGAGAGCAACATCAGCATTGACGTGTCGACTGTTTTTTAATGTCTCCTACGTATCAAATGACATCTGTAAGGGAATCGGGCAGGAATTTCGAGCATTACTAATATTTTTAATAATTGCAGTAACTTAAAAAAAAATGTTTTTTTTTAATATTATTTTCTTGTGTTTATAGCAATAAAAGGAATCAACGTTGGAAAACCAAGAAAAATGAATCATAATTTTTTTTTATTTTAACAAAAAAAAATAAACAAGTTGTAATCATCGTAAAACAATTTTAACTATACTCACGTATTTGTGTTCGTACGTCCCACTGTAATTTACAATAATTTTTATTTTTCGAGTTTGACTAATAAAGATTAAAAATAATAATAAATATTTGACTTTAATTTTTCGCTCAAAGGCAATTATTATTACTTGATTTTTATTTTTTCGATCACAAATAATGATTATTTTATGATTTTTATTTTTTCGCTCAAGCATAATAATTATTATTGAGTTTTATTTGTTTCACCTAAGAATAATGATCATTCAAAAATCTCAAAAGCTATACCAGCGTGATTTCCGCCGTATCCTTTTCAGAGGTAGCGACACCCTAATAAAGGAAATAAGTCCCAAAATTGTCAGGTCAAAACTTCAGTAAGTTGCCTCTGTATAGCCTTTTCAATTTTATAAATAATCATTATTTTTAAGTGGAAAAATAAAACTCAATAATAACACAGGTTTACAAAAAAAAAAAGTGTATGCATATTAAACCAAACCTTCATATTCCAAATGTTATTCGACATGCTGAATGCGAATCCGAGGTCCGTTAGCCTCCTTCACGTCAGGTTCGTGGTCATTTGAAGGTCAAGTAGGGAAAAATCCATTGAATAAACTTAAAATATGCATACCTTTTTTATGTAAACCTGTTTAATTATTATTTTGATTTAAATTATTTTGCTCAAAACGATTACCATTCCTGTTTTAAACAAATGAATCACTTTCTCGGTATAATTTTTCTTGCTCTTAACATGTGGTTCGCAGATCTTCGCAGATATTTCTAATAAAATTGAAATTAAATTAACTTAAAATAATTTTCACTAAAAAAGTTTTTGGTGAAAAGATCTACCTACATACATACATATATTTTTATTACTTAACAAAAAAGTTTGTGTGGTCTTTTCTAAGTACAGTAGCTAAGGGTTAAGCAGCAATATCAACAATTTTAGAATACAAACATAAATATAGTCACCTTAATTCACAAAGGCCCTAACCAACATTTTTTTTTTTATTTTACAGGAACAGCCAAAAACAATAACAATTACAAAAGGAGTATCAAAAACAGGTAGAGATTTTTAAAAAGCGTAAGTCCGCGGTTTTTGGTACTAACACTTCAAAATTTTCATTGAAGGTGTATTTTAATACATTTTACCAAAAGCTGGGAAAAGCGCAGTTTCGAAAAGTGTTGCTTAGGGCCTTTCTGAATTAAGGTAACGATATGTACCTATTGCGATAAAAAGACTGCAAGCAATATTTCATATTCATTCATTTAAATATTCATATGTATGTACATATATTAAAGTATGATATTGGCACCGGACTTCTGGGTAGTATTTCATATTACAATAATAATTTACGTACCTTTTTGATTCTTTAAAATTTCCGTATGTACGTGCATACTTATATAAGTATGTATCTTCGCATGTAAGGATGTAAGTATCTTCGCAGCAGCATAAGTGTATACACATACTATTTAACACAAAAAAATTAGATATGCCTCACCTTTTGAAATACTAGCAGGATTAACTTATTTGCAAATCATTTTTTCACAACAGATTTACTTATCTTTTATTTACATTGCTGATGCTTGATGCTCTGGGATTAACACAAAACACTTCACATACACACACTATGCACTTTGTACACAGAAATACATACATTAAATTTCTCTTAAAACCCCATTTTGCTCAATTTTATTAAAATTCTGCAGAAATTTTCACAAACTGAGAAAGAAGCTTCCGTTTGCAATTTCTATTTTCAACTGTCAAACTTTTGGCGGAAAAGGAAGCAATTTAGCGCGAAAAACAGAGGTCGTAGTGTTGCCACGTGCACATTCTTTTACCTACCAAAATTTCTACCAAAACCAACCAAAATTTCATCGAGTTTTTAATTTTATTCAATTTGGAGTTTATTAAAAATGTAGGTAACATAGCATTTAATAAAAATATGTACCAAATGTAAAAAAACCACCAGTTTTGGTAAGAAAAATGTAGTTCTGTCAACACTGTCCGATAGTGCATTTTGATCCCAAACAAATATTTGACAGCCACTGTAATCATACCAATGACAGGTCGTTTTGACATTTGATTTTTCATCCTCCACTTCGTCCATATTTCTTGAAGATTTCTTTCAACTTTTCGTTTCTGCAAAAAGCGCGAGCGAAAAACGCATTTCCACGAGACGCAGTGCTAATTAAATATTTTTATTTTTCAGCAAATTGTACATACAAACATATTTATTAAATAATATATTTGTGGTTGAGTTGTGTAGTTGCCGGAGTGTTTGGAGTTGGAGCCAGAAGACGGACGCCTGATTGGTTTGAATAGCACTATCTCGGCCATCGGCCATATACATTCTGTATTGCCTGCAGGCTTGCTTGACTTCTTCGCTGCTGCCTACCTAGCTTACCCGTGTTCCCGTATTCCCGTAGCTGTGTGTCTGTGGGTGCTTCGTTCGTCACTTCCATTCGCATTTTATCGCTTTCGGCCATTTATATTAGAGTTGACCGCTTTATTTGCTAACCAAATATAATAATCAGAAATTGTGCAAAACTCCGGACAATCTGCTGTAGGAAGTGTGCGCACATCGTATTAACAGGGCAATAAAACAAAATTTGCCAGCAACAATGGCCAATAACAATGCGCCAGGCCATTATAAAAGGAATGGCGTTGGTGGCAACATGAATGCTGGGAACGTTGATGGCGCCGGTACTGGGGTTGCAGTGAGCAACTTGAGCGACGTTTGCAATTTCCTGCAGCCAACTACCCTGAACACGGCGCTTAATTTGCCACCAGGCGCCTGCTCCTATGATCATCTTGTCGAGATGATACGAGGTCTTGATATGCAGGACGATGGTATTAGAATGAATCATAAGATGAAGGCTATTCGATCGGACTTTTGCGCGCTGGTACACGACGAAAACATGTTATGGTAAGTAGCAATTTAGGGACAATGTGGGCATAGGCGGCGTAGTACGTAAGCCGTAAGTGTCTGACATGATCGCGTATTAGCAAATATGTATGTACATATAAAAACATATGTTTGAACGAGTATTTGTATATGTACATAAATACATATGTACATATCTGCATTTGGCGAGCCGCCACAGCGAGCATTAGTATTATTTTTGTTTTCATTTTGAAGACCAACTTCCATTCTTTAGCTCGTGTGACTAATCCGATTTTATCGACGGAATGCTTTCAAGCTAAGCTTTAGCGAAGAACGTTCAAGCACGCTGTTTTGTCACAGTGTCTCAGCTTTAAAATGTGATGGTTTAAGTATAAGCAATAGTTGCACATTTGTGATCGACCATTGTTATAAATTCATTTAAGTCACTGAACCTAATTAGAAACCTGTTGTCAAGTAGTGGTTACTTAATGATGTACTATGTACAATATTTTAGTATGTTTTAAATATTATCTAAAATAAGTGTATACTGTATATGTATGATGTGTGTAAGCAACACCATACAATTTAAAAGTCCATTTCAGTTTTATGTCACCTGTCAGTGAACTTAATAAAAAATAACCAGATGTTCCGCTTGACCTTGCATAATATATACATATGTATGTGCGTCTATATTTGATGTACTGTGAGCTTTTAACGGTTAGCAGCTCAAACGGATATGTGTTGGTTACTACGGCCCGCAATTGAAGTTCAAGATACAAAATTATTTATTTAATTGCTTGTTTATGCATGCATATACCAATATACATACATGTACACACGTCTGAGACCACATGTCTACTGATTAGTATATTCTTCGTTATGAATGTTGTTTTTTCAATTGATTATGAGTAATTTTGCAGAAGAGCACGTCAGTGCGTTGACCTCACACAATTCAAAATTATAAACAAAATTTTGTTAAACGTTTACTTGGTTGATTAGAAGTCGTTACTTCTTTTATCTAAATAATAAATTTGTTGTTCCCGGGTTTACCTCTTGGTATAGGCGGTCGGCCTTAATTTAACCTTGCAAGCTTACAGACATATGTATATAAATATATCGTCGATGTTTTTGCAAAACCGCCCATCGACCAGTTGCAAAACCGCCTAAATCGCCGTTGAGGCAAAAATGAGATTTGGTAACCCTGAACTCCAGGCATCGAGATTTATGTATAAAAATTATTTAACCGTTATTAAACTAACAGCTTTGTAAAATAATAGCTAAAGAAAATACCGTCTATCAAGGCAATGCCTACAAAGCATAAACCGTTTTTTCGCTATCCTTTAAACTTTTGAGTGCCGTAAGATAGGCGGTTTTGCAAAAACATCGACGATATGTACATCTATTAAGTTTTTACAAATTATTTTATTTTGTTTAATATTTTATTTATAGTGAATGTATGGACTATATCAATGACAAAGCTCTCGGCGATGGTGATATGGCATTGAAATTTGCGATGCTCTTCTCTTCGCACAACTTTGACCAACTGGCAATGAAAGATATCAAAATACGTAGTGCCATGTTGAAGGTGCTCGAAGCAAACTATCTTAATGCCGATACCTACCGCATTCATGATAAAGAACGCCTCTACAATTCCATTACATTATTAGGCGAATATTATAATCGTGTCCGCCTGGCCGATCAATCGCCCATCACAATTTTAGGCGAATCTTTGCTAAGCCTACTTATTCGCGAAGTCAGCGCTTTAGAACCAATTGATGTGAAATTGGCCAAGTTGATACTCTCACAAATCACCCTTAATGGTGATATCATTCGTATAAAACATAAAAACGAATTGACGCAACTGCTTTATCACATAAGACGTAATTTGATTGAGCAGCCTGCGCTTAGTGCGACTGTTAAGGCATTGCTGCTAATGACACTTGATCTGTACTATAGTAACTTTACCAACTTGGGTGCACAGTTAGAACAGATGTACACTAAATATCTAGTGCAGGATGTTGAGGATGAAGGCAACAACAATGTTAATGCTTGTATGCAACCGCAATCGTTGCCAGTATTTATGCCAGGTGTAGAACAGCAAACGCAACAGCAATTGCAGATGCTGCAGAAACAACAAACCTTATCGCCATTGCAACCGCGGGTACAGCCACTGGTGAAAACAAATAGCTTTGTGCCGCAAGACCAAGATTACTGTGCGCCAAATGAGGCGACTGCCAACACTGTTTATGAAAATGGCGATAGTGAAAATGCCGCAAATGACTCTTACGATTCACAGCCATCGACAAAGAAATGGAGTGAACAAGTATGCGAAGACTCGCTATATGAAAGTGAATTTGGCAATGACTTTAACAGTTATGAACAAGACTTGAAAGATGGTAGTGGCGGTGTAGGAGTAGGTGTTGACTCTGGTATGCACGGTCGCTTGAGCAATGGGCGCGACAAGTTGAATGTTTCCGGCAATAGTCGCTACAATGATGAAGATTCTTTAAGCCGAAATGCAAGGCGTGCCCAAAAGCCTCGCAATTCACCACGCCCACTAAAACAGCAGCAACGCGATGGTAATGAGAGGGCTAGTGGGCATGTAGATCAGAAATCACCGCAGGGTGAAGAGGATGATCAGACAAAACCACTACCTCGCTGGCATGCACCGCGTTTCAATCGGGAAAGTGATCCCCAAAGCAACGATGGGCCTCAGCGTAATCAACAACGCCGTTACAGTGCTAGTTTTGACGATGATCATAGTGTGCGCAGCGACGGTGGCAGCATTCGACTGTATAGCATAAATGATCGTTTACGACACTCCCAAGAGAAGATGGAACGTAGTGGCAGTAATTTCAACTCTATTGCCAATTCGAACTGGGATCGACAGTCGCAGCATGCAGATGATCGCAGCGAGCGTTCGTATATAAGCAATTATGAACGTGGCAACAATTACCGTCGCGGCAATCGCCATTTTAATAATCGTCAGAACTGNCTTCCACGTCCAGGCAAATCACGACACTTCGATGACGCAGACGAGAGTGCTAACAATGCACCACCGTATCGCCGTAGTCAAAGTCCCTCAACGCATAGGCAAAATCAGCAGCGCACACGCAACTTTAACGCACGCTATAGTAGCCAGAGCAGTTTGGCTAGCGAAGCGTCAGGCACATTTGACCGACGTCAGCGTAACCGTAACTTTGGCCGGCAGTCGCAACAGCGGCAAGACCGCTGGGAAGATACGCACAATGTGCAAGCTCAGCCCGAGGACAATTCGTGGGATACGAAAAATGAGAATAGCGAACTGGTGCGTAATGCACGCCAAACTCCCAAGTATATGAACTATTTGTCTTCGAAGAAGTGAGATACAGCCTGTGCAGCTGAGTCAACTGACAATGATCAGCGGTAGCGTTTGGTGCGAATTCAACATTAACATAAACAACGTAGAAATAGCACACAAATGGGCACCAAACAAAAAGAACAACGACAAAAATAATGTGTCAACAAGTGAGCCAATTGAGTTACTTATCTACTTCATTTATATTATTGTAATGTCTGTTCTGACTTTGCTTATACTTCTATTTCTTAAGTTTGATTAATGTATGAAGCGTAGTTTGGTTTTTCTTACATTTTATATTTGCTTTTAAACAAACACGGTTTGTGTGAGAAAGAACAATCACCGATGAAGCAATTTGTTTAGAAGCAAATGCAGCAGTTTGTAGGGCATATTATGTGGCTTGTGCGGTTAAGTATTCTAATTTGCTATTTAAATTTGTATTATTTTCTACAACTTCATATGCGTATAATTCGATTTTAATAGAATTTATTAATTGGAAAGATAAAAGAATTACAAATTTTAAAAAATAAAACCAACAAAATGTTATTAACTCTAGTGTAAAAAAAAAAAAAAAAAAA